ATACACGGATAAACTCTGTTTCGCATACTCACAACTGTAAACCTACATTTGCCCAGCCCTGCACATAGATCCCTACTTAGGTAGCGCCGAGAGTGATAATGACCCGCAGTGAAGTTTACTGGGACGCATCATCACTCCTGCTGCAAGAGCATCATGGACATCTGGAGGGGGTGGGGGGAGGAGGAGTCAACATCCACGAAAATGTTTCCAAGGGGAAGTTGCATTTGAATTAAACGGACAGAAGAAACAAAATAGTGGATTTTCCACTGGATTACTCCAAAAAATATTCCGCGAATCCCAGCTGGAACCCAGTCTGGATGCGGGGCTGAGAGCCTTACTAGAGATCACCACCGGTGCCAATAACTCATGCCCTCGCCCCTGACCTTGGGGCGGACCGAGACCAGCGGCCCCGGGTGCGGACCGGGAGGGGTAGAAAGGAAGGACAGAGGCCTCCTGGAAGCCTCCAAGCCCCAGCCTGCAAGAACGCGACTCTTTCTGGTCGCGCGCCTGGGGCTGAGCTGGGCCCTGCAGGTGGCAGAGGTGGGCGCCCAGGCCTTGCGGGCTGTGGTGGTCGGTCCGAGGGCCTTTGGCAGGGCCGGCGAGGAGCCCAGACTTCTTGCCTGGGTAGGGACCGAGTCGGAATGCGGGAGGGTAGCGCTGAGAGCCGAAGGATCAAAGGATCAAAACAGCCCAGGCGTGGCCCTGAGGAGGCGAACCGGAGTCGAAGTGGAAAGCACCTTGTCAGTCCCTCCTCTAGCTCACCCTTGGGACAGTGTCCGAGCTGGGGCGTGTGAGGACCGCCCTAGTGCAACCCCTCTTCCGAGAAACACCCCCCCCCCACCACCACCACCACGACCACAGGCCGGCTTCTCTATGCCTGCCTCTTCCCACTGCCCAATACAACCCAAGCCTCATCTGAAACGGGCTGACCCTGGACTCTGGGGGCTTCCCCTGCACGCGGTGAATGCCCAGTTTCAACCTGTACAACTGCCGGAGGGACACCTGGGGTCCCGAGTCTGGGAGCAGAGCTCCCCCTTGGGCCACCGGAACCTGAGGTGGCCCCGCCTGTGGGTAGGGCCCGATCCCCGGGTTTGGGCAAGAACGTGGGTCCCTATCCCCTTCTCCTGTGCCCACACAACCTCCGCGCACTTAAGTGAACATTTCAAACGGCCAAAAAACTGTCTGAATCTGGACAAATAACTGCAACGAATGGAGGGAGAGGGAGTATGCAGGTAGCGGTTCCTGAGGCTAGCGCTAACGTCCCCCAAGCCCCTTTGGAAGGAGAAAGGCAGCCGCAGCTGTCAGGCACGCTCTCCTGAAGTTGGTGTGCGTGTGTGTTGGGTGAGGGGGGTGGGGGGCGAGAGGGAAACGGGCGCGTAGGACAGTCAAAGGCGAGGAGAAGTCACCCCCAACAGTGCGGGCTCCCACCCAGCGCCTCTGTCGCGGGTCCTCACTGGAACCAAGGAATGTCTGCTCCCTGAGCTTGGGAAAGAGGCTCTGCCAAAGGAAATGTTAAGTGGGGCCTGCCAAAGGAGGAGGAGAAAATTAATTAATGAGGGAAAGAAATGTGTCTCTGATCCAGATGATAGACTCCCTTTCCCCGGGGGCGGAAATTCCTTGGAAATCAATAGCTGTGCATTCATTATCCGCCCCTTGATAAAATGCAAAGCTATGAGATGGGGGAGGGGTAGTCTGTGTTGGTCTTTAAAAAAGGAGGAGGGGGTGGTGGTGGGGACCTGCTCAGGAATCTATGCCAAGGCTCAGCCCCACGTGGGCATCTGTAGTACAGGCAGGGGGCAACTAGTTACTGCACTTGCCAAACTGGGAAAACAGTGACATATCCCTGGGCTGAGCTCTGGTCCATCACCCTTTCCTTTCACTGCCTTGGGGTAAGTAGGGGAAGGCTTGATAAGGTCTAAGGCACACCTGCTTCTAGATCCACCACTGTGCCCCACTCGCTAGCCTGGGGCTAATGCCCAGCAGGGATATGGCAGGGTCATTCTCCAACCATCACCCACACCCCACACCCCGTATTTCTCTACCTCACATTGCACCTGTCACACCTGTACCATAAACACCTCTTCCTTCACCTGTAGCTGCCTCGCTGTCAGAGATTGCCACCTCCTGGAGGTCAGATACCCATATTTTACAACTCAGTTGATCTCCAGTGTCTTGCCTTGGCCCAGACTGGTGCCCAGCAAGCATCTGAGGAAGGAAGGTAAGGTAGAAAATAAATGAGAGAGGGATGAAATAATTGATTTTGGAAATAGAACGTCTAAAGTCAAGATGTACAGCTCTGTGTGAGGACAGCACACCCCTCTGGCCAGTCTCCATCTCCTTTTTAGGGAAAAAAGAGACCTGTCTGTGATCCTCCTGCTTGCCCCCCAGTAGCCCTGGCTTGGTGAAGCCTCTCCGGCTTTAATCCTGGCCCTCCCCATCTGCCTCCTCTTCCCTCCTATTCACGGGTATTGTTGTATGGGGCATTTTTACTCTGTTCAAGCACCTTGCTAAGCGCCACCGTGGACAAAGATGTGCCTTAAATGGACTTCCAATCAATTGGTTGGGGAGTGGGTTGAGAACTGTGCCCACAGTCCTCATATTTCTAGCCCCTGGAAAAGCAAGATATTCTGGGCAAAGGTCTGACCCCTGCCCCCTCCAGGTAAGAAGGGATCCGGTGTCCAAAGAGGTAAGGCATTGAATTCCTGACCTTAATCCAGGTGCCTCTCCACTCACTGGGCGTACTGGTGCCCTCCAAGCTTTGGGTACTCTAGGGTTAGCCTTGCTCGCTGTTTGCGTTTCTGTCTCCCTGAACCCTTCACGGCCCCTAAATGTCAGCGTTTTGCTTGGGTGGGTGCTAGTATCCCAGCGCTCGCCCGCAGCGGGGCCCTTCTTTCCCTCGAGGAAGAGCTCAGAGAACGCCGCGAAGGGTAACAGAAGGGATTAGGTTAAACCTGGACACCCGCTGCGACCACTGCGTGGGACTCTCGCTCCCTCCAGCGCTGTCCTGCTCATCGTCCATTTCTCGTAGAGATAAAGTTACATTTAGCACTCCCAGGGGACCGTGTAATGGATGGAAACGCGGCTCCTTCTCGCACCAGCAAATGAACATTCCTCTTACTCCCTTCTTGGCTGCAAGGGGCGGGTTGGAGGTGGGGGTGGGGGCAGAGAGAAAATAAAAGAAAGAAAGGAAAGCTACGGTGATGCCTGTGGGCTCCTCTTAGAATTTGAGTAGTGACTGAGTATGCTAAATACACAGGCGATTGTCCAAAGAAAAGATAAAATCAAACGCGAATGCAAATGTAGGTTTGTAGAAATGAGATCTGCTCATTGGTGGAAATGCAGATCCCTTTGGTGTGGGAGAGACCAGGAAAATTATTTATCTGATCTCTGCCTCCCATAAGCAGCCCTTTGCGGCTCTCCAGCTCTCTCGTCCCAGATGTGATAACATCTGGGCTATTATCACTCCGGGCTAGCGCTGCTCCTTGGGGACTCAGGCACCTGAACTGTGGTCCCCTGTGAGGCCCTGGATTTGCCCTCCAGAAAAGGGCCATACAATAGGTCGGGTAATTGATTTATTCTTCTTTTTAGGTTTAGATTTTACAGTAACAAAAATAAATATTGTAAAAGCCAGGTCAGAGCTTGGGCCCGTTCTTTCAAATTGGTTTGGGTTAATATTTTAATTACATTTTTTAATAAACTGGCTTAATCCTGTCTCCTATGGAAGAAAAAAATATACATGGTGAAGAAGCCAACACGATGGGAGGAAAAGAAAGTTCTCTTTCCAACATCTTATTCCCTTTTCTCCGAGGTGATTTCCTTTTCCTGGAGTTTCCAGGATAAAGTGTGTGTGTGTGTGTGTGTGTGTGTGTGTGTGTGCGCGCGCGCGCGCGTGCGCGCGCTGAGGGAAGGAAAGGATCCCAACTACACCCTGTTAACTATCTTTCCTTTTGTTTACTAGAAGCCTCAGATCACCCGGAGCTCGTTTGAAATGTGGGTTTGTACACAGTTAAAGGAGACAAACAATAAGAGAAAGGCACAATTTCATTTCAACAGCCATTCCCGGAGTAGAAAGCACACGCTCCTTGTGGCTTCTAAGTGGCTGTCACTGTTGGTGCCTGACACAGTTATATTCACAAAAACAACAACAAAAGTATGCGGAGGAAATTAAATTATAAGGAAATCAATAGCGTCTGACTGCTTCAAACGAATGTCTGTCACCGCGATTATTCTCCAGGAAGCTATTTATAAACCTTGAAAGAAACAGGTTCTTGCAGCACAGGACAGCACCTTCTGCATTTCTGTGTTGTTATTTATACTGTATACAGAGGAATGCGCGGGCATAATTTAACATACAAATGCCCAGCTCTATACATTATATAACAGCTTGTTAGACATCCCAGCGAGGAGGTGTGCCTAAGTAATGCGCATATATTCTGGGCTTGCGCTGGGGCGGGGGTTGAGAGAAGAGGGGAAACCGTGGGCAGCGAATGAACACCGTGGTTTTCTCTGCTTAAAAGGTGCCTACCCTCAGACAATAGCTGGCCCTTTTGATCTTTTCAGACCCGAGGTGGGAAAGGTGAGGTGTGCAGTGCGCATGCCTGGTCAGCTACAGGTACAACACCTGCGCTGTCCTTGCTGGTGGTCACTATAAGAGTGGCTCCCACGCGCCGGTCGCTGCCCGGCGAGCGCGCGCGCGCGCGCAGTCGCAAGGCGCCTCGGAGTAGGAGTGCGCGCGTCAGACAGACCGAGACAGCTGATGACTGTCAGCGCGGCGGGGCCGCGAGCTCTCGCGAGAGCTCCCCGGGCCGGCCGCGAGAAGTGGGACTCAGGTGTAAGAGGAGTGCATCCCGTCCGCGCGCGGGGCTAGAGCTCTTGGAGAAGTGGGCTCGGTGCGCGGCGCTCTGCGCGGTCCCAGGGAGCGCCGGGCGGCAGCGGCGGCCGCAGGAGCAGCAGCAGCAGCCCCCCGCGTGGCCGCCGCCTCCGCGCCGCCAGCCGCCAAGGCTGCAGCCTCCGAAGGGAGGCCAGGGGAACCGGGGTGCGGACTTTCCCGCGGACTTTCGGAGTGTTTGTGGATTTACATGCCCAGCCATCAAGATGATGTCCATGAACAGCAAGCAGCCTCACTTTGCCATGCATCCCACCCTCCCTGAGCACAAGTACCCATCGCTGCACTCCAGCTCCGAGGCCATCCGGCGGGCCTGCCTGCCCACGCCGCCGGTAAGCGCCCCACGCCCGCGGTCCCAGCCCGCGCACTCGTCCCCTCCCGGTCTCCGAGACGCTGCATGTCGGGTGCTGGTGTGTGCAAAGGTCCCGGTGCGGGGATTTGAGGGCAGGGATTCTTTTTAAAGAGAAATCCCGTTGCTTGGTACATTTTGTACAGTGGCACTTAATGTCATGTTTCTGTCGCCCCTGCCTTCATGTCGGGCGCTTGCGATCAGAGTGGGGATCGGTGGGGCCAGCACTCTCGACTTTGCTCCACTGTCGCTGTTAATGTCACGCCTCGGAAAGGCGATCTCTGCGTGTTCGGTGCGCGACACGGGTCCCAGCTGCGAGTTACATCTCCGTTTCTTCTTCTTTCCCCTCTCCTTTTTCGTCTCTCACTCTCTTTCCCGCAATGTGCTCCTGTGTTCTCCTCTCCCTACATCTGTTCTCCTCCCGACACTCTCAACCCTTCTCCTCCGTCCCCGGTCCCATCTCCAACACGTCCCCATTCCGTTTTCCCCGGTCTCCACTCTCCCCGCCCCTGTTGTTGTTATTTTGGTTGCTTTGTGTTTGTTCTTTGCTTGTTGTGCCGTCTGGTTTGTGTGTGGTTTTGTTTTGTTTTGCTTTTTTGGTTTTGTGGTTTTTTTGGTTTGGTTTGTGTCGCCTGCAGCTGCAGAGCAACCTCTTCGCCAGCCTCGACGAAACGCTGCTGGCGCGGGCCGAGGCGCTGGCGGCTGTGGACATCGCCGTGTCCCAGGGCAAGAGCCACCCGTTCAAGCCGGACGCCACGTACCACACGATGAACAGCGTGCCATGCACGTCCACGTCCACCGTGCCGCTGGCGCACCACCACCACCACCACCACCACCACCAGGCGCTCGAGCCCGGGGACCTGCTGGACCACATCTCCTCCCCGTCGCTTGCGCTCATGGCCGGCGCGGGCGGCGCGGGCTCTGCGGGCGGCGGTGGTGGCGCCCACGACGGTCCGGGGGGCGGCGGTCCGGGGGGCGGCGGCGGCCCCGGCGGCGGCGGCCCCGGGGGCGGCGGCGGCGGCGGCCCGGGGGGCGGAGGCGGCGGCCCGGGCGGCGGGCTGTTGGGCGGCTCCGCACACCCGCACCCGCACATGCACGGCCTGGGCCACCTGTCGCACCCGGCGGCTGCGGCCGCCATGAACATGCCGTCGGGGCTGCCGCACCCCGGGCTGGTGGCGGCGGCGGCGCACCACGGCGCCGCGGCGGCGGCAGCGGCGGCGGCGGCGGGGCAGGTGGCGGCGGCGTCCGCGGCGGCGGCCGTGGTGGGCGCGGCCGGCCTGGCGTCCATCTGCGACTCGGACACGGACCCGCGCGAGCTCGAGGCGTTCGCGGAGCGCTTCAAGCAGCGGCGCATCAAGCTGGGCGTGACGCAGGCCGACGTGGGCTCGGCGCTGGCCAACCTCAAGATCCCGGGCGTGGGCTCGCTCAGCCAGAGCACCATCTGCAGGTTCGAGTCGCTCACGCTCTCCCACAACAACATGATCGCGCTCAAGCCCATCCTCCAGGCGTGGCTCGAGGAGGCCGAGGGCGCGCAGCGCGAGAAAATGAACAAGCCCGAGCTCTTCAACGGAGGCGAGAAGAAGCGCAAGCGGACTTCCATCGCCGCGCCCGAGAAGCGCTCCCTCGAGGCCTACTTCGCCGTGCAGCCGCGGCCCTCCTCGGAGAAGATCGCCGCCATCGCCGAGAAACTGGACCTCAAAAAGAACGTGGTGCGGGTGTGGTTTTGCAACCAGAGACAGAAGCAGAAGCGGATGAAATTCTCCGCCACTTACTGAGGGGGGTGGGGCGGGTGGGCGCGGGAGGAGGGGCCGAGCAGGGAGCTGAAGGGGCCTTTCGGGCTTTCCCCGGGCCGGGCCTCTTCCCCCCGGATCTGGCGTGTCCGTTATCCTGCCTGCGTTTGGCGAATCCGTCCTCCAGCGCTCTCTTTCGCCCCCTCCTTCCCTCATGCTCTCCTGGCCCTCCCCCTCCCCCAGCCCCGAGCACTGGGGTGCTGGGTGTGGACGTCGGAGAGGGAGCATTGGGGTGAGCTGGTAGCTGAGGGGGAAAGAAAGCGGAGCCTGGAGGAGGGGTTTTGAGGAGCAGGATGGTTCTGGGGGTTAGGGTGGGGGGAGACTGGAAGGGTAGAGAAATGGACTGTTTCGGACCAGAGACATTTATCAAAATCTCCTGGGGACCAAGGAACTATGTACAAAAACAAACCTACCAACCACCAAAAAAAAAAAAATCAAAAAACAAAAACACCTAAACAAATAAAAGCAAACTAAAACAAAGCAGAACAAAAGCAAATAAAATATGCGTTAGAAATTTAGCTCCAGGGAGCCATACTCTGCAGCTTCAACCCCCCTAAGGAAGAGAAAACAAGAGCACCACCATTATTACCACTGACCCACCCTCACAAATGAACTGCAAAGCGAAAGCCAGATGCACTGGAAGGTGAGACTGCGGGTAGCTAAGCGAGTTGTTCTGTGTATTTAATTTAATTTTCCCCTCTCAGTCTCACCTCTACCCCACCCACGTTCTCTTTGATTATTTTTTGCGTTCCAAAGAGACTGGATGGCTGCTCTCCATTGCCAGAAAGTGAGAGGGGGAACAGCTAAAGGGGGCGGGGGGGGGGGGGGGATTATGGCCTGTTTAGGTGGAGTCCAAGTTTTCCACTGACTTAGCCTGTATTCCTGTGGCCTGGGCCCATTCGGGTGGGGGTGTTTAGGGAGAGAGAGGCAGTATTTGAGCTGACTAAAAGGCAGAATTTATGGAGCTCCGAAAGAAATATTTTGTTCTAGAAGAATAAAACAATTTTGACAAGTTCTTTTCCTTTTCATTTTTGCTCTTATATCTAAGATCTAGAAACAGATTATTTCAAAATCAGTGCCACCCCCCTCCATAGAACTTGCTTGCTTGCCCTTTCACTTTCACTTATTTTTCTGAGTGTAGTTTATTTAAAACTACCTACTGAATTTTATTTCCTATTGATTCAAATAGATTAATGGGATGGAAAACAATAGGAGAGATATTGTGTCCCTTTTACTCCACAGAACAAGACTCATCTAGCTCTTCTAGGTACCCTTTTCTTCTCTCTTGGAGAACATGAAATGGTTGAAATATTGAGAAGTTTTTGCTTTCGGTTGGAGCAGGACTTGGCTGTGGGGAAAAATCAACTAAATCCCAGAGGAAGACAGAGTTAAAGTCCTCCATTTGTTTCAAAAGGGTCTGCATGTTGGGAGGGGGGGAAGCAGAACAACTGTGTTTCATTATTATTATTATTCAAAAGTAATTTATTGCTGGGGATAAATGTTGGGTAGCAAGAACTTTAATTTGCACTACCAGTCTCCCAAATAGAAAACCGTGTATAGTATTTCATAGTTATAATCAAGGTACTTTATGAACTGCTGATGGATTAAAAAATGAGAAAGACAGTTGAAGGTGGTTAGGTAAAATGCTTGCTTGGTGCACAAGATACTCTTTTGATCTCATGTGGGGATGGTTTATGACCATCCTTTAACAAGAACTTAAAAAATTGAAAACAAATGTGGAAAGAAAAGGAAAAAAAAAAACAAAAAACCCTGCCATTTAACAAGACTGAAATCATGCATGACCTGAAAAGTGCAGAAAGAAACACAATTAGGTCTCACTCTGGTTAGGCATTATTTATTTAATTACATTGTATATCATTGTTTGCAGCGCAAACATTCTATGCATTTGAAACTGAGCACTAAACTGGGCTAGCTTTCTGATAGACCGTTTTGTGGATAGTGTGATTTCACAGTCTACTGCCTGTTTTCACCGAAAACACAGCATTCTTGTCGTATTCTTGTATTTAGAAAAAAAGGTAAAACAGGAAGATTATTGTAAATATTTTCTTTAATGCACACACTCACACCGTGGTTACAGACTGCCAGTGTTATACCTGTCCATGTATGTCTGCTGAGCTTTCTCCTTGGTTATGTCTGCTCTCTTACCGTTTCTCCTTCCCACTTCTATCAGAACCATTTATGTGCGCCAAAATACAACAGGGGGATGTGTCCCAGTACACTTACAAATAAAACATAACTGAAAGAAGAGCAGTTTTATGATTTGGGTGCATTTTTGTGTCTATACTAGGCCAAATCCTGGTAGAGCCGGTCAGCAAATGAAACTCAATTCAACCAAAAATACAGGGGAAAGGGTGAGAATGATGTATTTTTCTGCTGAATCAGAATTCACTTTCAGACAACTCATGTGAAAAGTGGTGCTCTGAATAAAATGAATTCTATATTAGTTGCCTGTGTTTATCAAAGTTTTCTTTACAGAAATTCTTAAACCACAGCCCGCCCCCCTTCAGAGTGGTGGAAGCTAATAAATATCCAAACACCCCCAAAATATTTAAATCAAGGTTCAGGGACAGAGGCATTTGGAGGTTTATATGTTTTGTTCTAGCCTAAAAACATTTCTTTAAAGGTATTGTAACTAAATGACCTTTTTAGGAAGTTAATACAAAAACCATCCAGTGATCTGTCCCACCCTCATGACAAATGCCTCTGTTCATTTGGAACATTTAGTGTGCCACCTACTGCTCCAGAGGAACCAGAGATTCTTTATTTTTTGGTGACCTGGGACTAGATCAGATGCCAAATGTACAAAGTTTCTTAATAGCTGGGGTTATATCTTCTGAAGTCATCCTACTTTAGCCAAATCTTTTTAATTTCACCGGCAAATCTGTGAAACAAAGCATTTGATGTTCAACAAAGAATAGTACATTGAAAAAGCTGTGATTTTAAAGTTGCTAATGTTTTAAAAAAGCACTTAGAGGTATTTTTAAAAATAGATCTCTTCCATCAAAACTGATCTTTTTCTGTTATTGACTTGAAATGTCATCAAAGTTTTTAATAAAATGCATTTGTAAAGAAAACATGTTATTTTATAGAAAAGTATGACCGATTTCATTGTTGGAGAACCAGGAATGAACAGATGAAAAGATTTACAAAGGCTGCTTTAAAAAAATCTGCCCCAAACGAAATGTTGCAAATACATTTGTATTATATAATGATGACCAATGTATGTAATAAGAACTTAAGCATTTGTTTTGTATTAAGTAAAACCCTCACCAAATGAAAAGAAGACAATATTATGTTAATAAAACAGATTATGAAAATACATGCTTTGCAGAGTTTCCTATTTTCTGTAGTAGGAAACTGTGCAAAACAAGATATGCTTTGCTATCTGGCGAGTGATTCTGTGTACCGCCGGCAGGAATAATAAGACAAGTTTAACTGTCAGTTCGTGAAGAAACAAACAAACAAACAAATGTCCGCCTGAAGGAAATGCAAAGGTTTGGCAGGCAGCAATAGTTGGCCTTTCAAAGTTTTCTGGTTCTGAAGAGCGGAATTTTACTCTAAACGCATTAAAGGCACCAGTCAGGTGGAAATACTTCGGTTCTTTTAAAGAACAATCTCTAAATAAGTTGGAGAGAGTGGGGAATTGTTCTCCGTTGGGCTTCTCAGGAAATCCAGGTGGTGGAGGAGTAGGAAAGGCAAAAGAAAAATAAGCATAAAATGCACCTGCCATGTTTGTGCCAACCCTTCGGTTTGGAATTTTCTCTCTTCCCCAGTCCTAGGTCCGGGTCCTGCTCCTTTCCTTCTGTAGGTCTGAGAAATGTCCTCAAGACACACTAACTAACTTCTGGATACATTTTTGTTTAATGCGTGTTCTGAAATTGCTCTCAATTTCTATTACACTCTCATAATTAAACCGTAGGCAACCGCTGCCGTGATTGTATTGATTTTTTTTTTTTTTACTTTCTTGAGAAAAACTATTCTGGTCCTGTTCCTACAAGTGGCTATGCCTAGAGAGGACAGGGCGCCGCCCTCACCGTAGGACTCACCTGAGCAGCTCCCGCCCTTGGCCCCAGGCTCTGTCGCCCGGGCCTCTCCCGCCAACCCTGCAGCGAAGCATTCCTGCTCCATCTTTCACGTGGACCGGTTTTTATAATCTGGGCTGTGAAGCTGGAATTGTGACTTCTGACCCTGACTAATGCAGCGTTCCCCACCCCATTCAAAGGGCCGTGGTGGCCAGCGGGGTGGTAAAGGTGATGCCGACAATGATTACCCCGTCTGGTTCTGCTTGTCTGTGTTATTATTGCTGCAGCGGACTCAGCCCCACGATGGGAGCCACTCGGTCCTCGAGGGCGGTTTCAAAAGAGCCCGCAAGCTTAATTGATTTTTTAAAAATAGCAGTCAAATTCTTATTCTCACGGGAGTTGGGCACTGTTTCCACCTGCGAGATAAGCCTTGTCTCAATAATTACGTTATTTAATATTTGATCAAACCTTAGCGCCACCGTGGCTGGCGCGCGGGGCTGGCTCACCCCTCGGGGCAGCGGGCAGGCGGCGGCCCGGGCCGGCCGGGCATCCGCAGCGGGGGCGCGCGCGGCCGCAGCCCTGGCGCTGGTTTGCTTTTGAATAATTCATGGCCTGAGACTTCTGGAAATTAATATAATGAATGATAACAAGGAGCTAATTAAAAACTTTCCTAATTGTTTCCAAGTCAGCTTGATGGGGCACAGGCAGCCCTCCCTCCCCGCCTCCCAGAAATCTGGTGGACCTGCAGGGCCGGGCTCTGGCTGGGAAGGGTCTGGGAAACTCAGACTCCCGGAGCTATTGCGGGTGCAGCCTCGGGGGGCTGCTGCTTTCCCTCTAGCCGCCGCCGTCCGTAGATCGCCCCTCTCCCCAGCGCGACTTCGGACTCTGGGGCGGTTGGGTTGGCGGGTGCCTTTTCAAACCACCGGCAGAGCTGATTGGGTC